CCCCCTCGCTGGACCTCCTATCCGGCGGCGACGCCGAGCCCACAACGCCCGCGCCGGCGGCGATGCCGGCGCCGACCGCCCCTGCCGTGGCGGCACCGGTGGCGCCGCCCCCAGCGGCCAACACGGCGCAGGTGGGCCATGCCGAACAGCTTGGCTACTGTCTTTTTCCAACGTGTCAAGATGCATGAAGGCTTAGGAAGTTTCGGGTTTCGACTTAGCTCCTTGAAGTTCAATGTAAACTCCCCAAGGCCACTTGTACCAGTGGGATGGTAACATCATAGCTATATATGTTGTGGCTGTATGCATGTGCATGTGTTTATAATAGTATGTTTGTGTAGGTAATGTGCGTAATGCATGTAAAGAATGATGTTTGCAATGTAATGTAATGTAAGGTTATGTAATATACTAATGTATTAATGTATATTTGTATGTATGTATGTGTGAAGGTAGGCATGTATTTATGTATGGATTAATGTATGTATGTATGTATGTATTTATGTATGCATATGTTTATGTATGTATGCATGTCCTGTACTGTTTTGTACTGTAATGTATTGTCATGTAATGTTCATATCTAGGTATGTATGCATTTAAGTTTTGCACTCTATGTATGTAATGTATGTAGTGTATGTTATGTTGTGTTATGTTATGTTATGCTATGTTATGAATGTATGTATGTATGTATGTATGTTTGTGTGTTATGTATAGTATGGTATGGTATGAAATGGTACGGTATGTAATGTAATGTAATGTACTGTGTAAAACGTGATGTGTGATGTGTAATGTAATGTAATGGTATGTAAGTCTGTATGTACGTATGTATCTATGCATGTATGTGCTATACTGTACTGTACTGCTTTGCTGTACTGTAGTGTGCTGTAGTGCAATGAAGTGCATGTATGTGGGTAGCTATGTTCGTATGTATCTATTTTTGTTATGTTTGTATGTAATGTAGCGCACTGCAAATGGAATGCAATGCAATGTCATGTAAGTATGTGTTTTTTTTGTGTGGGTATGCAGGTAGGCATGTATGTAGGCATGTATTTATGTATCTATGTATGTATGTATGAATGATTTTATGTATGTATGTATGTTTGTATGAATGAATGAATGAATGAATGAATGCAAGCGTGTATGCGTGTATGTATGAATGTAATGTGGTGTAATGTATTGAATTGCGCTAATGTAAAGCGTATGTAGTGGTTTGAATCGGTATGTTATGTTATGTTTTTGTGGTATGGTTTGGTTTGGTATTGTGTTGTTTGTATTGTAATGTAATGCAAGTGTATGGTACGGTATGGTACGCAGGTAAGTTGGCAGGAAAACTGGTAGGAGTGCATGTGTCACAAGGCCCTGGGGCAGTGGGGTTTGGATCTCAACATACTGTCATACCATCCCTGGGCACCTCCGAGCCTTGCAGGTGCCAGACCTGCTGGACGGAGGTGGTGCGCAGGTGACAGAGGCGGCGAAGGGTGACGATGCCATGGCATGGTAGTCAGCAGAAACGAAAATATGGATGAATTTTGTATAATTTTGTATAAACCATGGTTTAAGGTGAGTTCAATGATTCAATCCATGGTTTGTATGCATATGAACATGTTAGGAACCTGGATAATGTGGGCAGATAAATGGTTTTTCTGGTCAGACGTTTCATTCCAACTGGCCCAACACTAACTCTCCGGCGCTCAGCTACTGAAGTGCAGAAACCAGGTTTTGATTCCAGAATTTGCGGTAGTGCCGCGTCAAGGACTCATGGCGTAGCAGCTGGAGCTGTTGATATGTTCGCCGAAACATCATCAAGTAGGTTCCAAACAACTCCTTGAAACAAGTCCAGAAAGCGTGCAGCACTAGGACACTGGGATGTTCCAGTGATGTTTTCAGCCAAAGTCTTCGACATGTCGACCCTCCTCTTGGTTCTACACCTGGGGTGTTGCTACATCGGAGCTGGCCTCTGCCCGAACTTCGTCAGGAGCCCTGGACTGCCGACTTCGGGACACCGGTGAAGGTGGCGGAGCGTTGCGAACGGGGCGGGCGACTGGGAGGCAAGGTGGAGGTCCAGGATTCGGGGGAGTTGAGCCTCAAGACCTAATTATGTCTAACTACCTTCTGAGTTTTTTGTGGTTGGAGTCCTAGGGGTTTTGCGGAAGAAGACCACTCGCGTGCCTTTCCAGGTGGCGCACATGGCCTTTAGCAAAGACGGCATTGATTGCTCAGCTCAGAAAGCCCCAGCGGACTTTAGCAACTAGGAGCAAGGACGCTAGTAGGGGCTCCTGGCCATACTACTGGGAGCAAGGATGCTACTAGGAGCAAAGGGCATCGCTACTGGGAGCAAGGACGCTACTAGGAGCAAAGGGCTTTTGAAACCATTCAATGATATCGGTCGAGTTGATCTACTCGAAAGCATCCAAAAAGGACCTTCGTGACAGACCGGTTTTCGAGCAAATCCGAAGTCCCATTCCCTTCAAATTTCTAGCCACCTCAGGTGTGCACCCTGCCAACTGAGACGCCGATGGAAGCGGAACAAGATCAGGATCGCCTTAACCACGCACCTCCCCCAGCCCCGCACCTGCCGAATCCTGCCATCCTCGCGCCAGGCGCCCGACAGCCTCGCAGGGCTCATCGATTTGGAGTTCAGTGGCAGCGGCTGCAGGGCAGTGGGGGGGGGGTTCCGATGCTGGCCACGTTCACAAGCATTGAGACAAAAAGCGCAAAAAGGAATTTCATGTTGTTTCATGATGTTTCATGTTTTTTCCTACACATGTTTCTGCTTGCAATGTAGACTAGCTCTTGAGTTAATGAATGAAAGATCAATTTATTCGGAAGAGGTACACTTTAGAATCCAAATGGGGAGGTGTTGTTGATCAAGAGTCGCATACATGAGTTGTCGCCCCAATGAAGTTCAATGGATCCTGCAAGTAGATCGCTCATGTCTCCCCATACATTCAGCTGTGATTCTTCAGCCTCCGAGCCTCCAAGCCTCAGATATCGATCCCAAGGAATCCCAAGTTTGGTCAGTAAGTTTTTTGTGCTTGTCAATCTCATGACTCATGACCTTTCCTTCCTTTCCAACTGCCGCAAACTGGAGCCTCCATTCAACCAGATGGATCTATGGTTCAGACCATCCATGTATGGCCTATATACCTGATAGAACATAGCGGTTTCAGGGGTCTATGTATGCATGTATATTCCAGAATTACATTGCTTTGGGTAATCATATGCTCATCCTCTAATTTGGTGCTCAATCCATCATGCCAACGCTGTATCTAGTAGCTGTGGCGCGTTCATTCTGGGGATGGCTAGCTATAGTGGCTACATTGGCTACATGTTTCTACCATGTTGTAACACAGAGTTTGAAGGGTGGACTAGCTGTGCTTAGCTGCACCCAAGCCATGCTGCCAGCCGATTTGGATTAGTGTTGATTTCATCACGTCACGATGGAATAACGTCGATCGAAATGACATGCGCTTCCGGTCGAAACGAATGCAGGTATGATAGAAAAGTTCCTCGAAGATGCCCGATTCTCATGTTGAGGTTGGTTTTGTTCAATCAACTGTTGTTTGTTCCTTTTGCTTGGAGCCATGGCTTGAGCCAACTCGCTAGCCTTCCTTCACCTGCCTTGAACAAAAGGCTTTGACCAATCTCCACCAGCTTCGCTTTGAAGGTTCTCCTCCAAAGGCTGCAGCTCCCAAGCCCGAGGAGGAACGATACGCGCCTCGCGGTGCTGCGGCTGCCCAGAGGGGATAGACACGAGAAATTCCCCCCTGACGTTGGATCAAAATCCCTGTGCACTGCTATCGGCAGCTGCTGCCTCCTTTCATTTTGTGGTAAATTTCTTGGACATGAGGATGTGGCGGCCGGCCCATTCTCATTTCTATATTGCAGAGTTCGTGACTTCATGTTGAAGTGTGCTCATCCCGCCGGCCAAACGGTATATTGTAATTGTGTAGAGAAGTGCAGCTCCAAAGGAGAACCTGCAGAAAGTAGATGCGGAGCAAAGCACACAGAACATCTACTGGAACATACTGGAAAGTTATGTTTGACTGGCCTAAGCGCCTCCCCTTGATTTGTATCAAAGACCCAATCCAATTTCTAGGTCCTACACCTATAGTCAGATAACTGCAGGTGTGGTCTCCTGCCAGAGTTATTCTTTTGATTGGCTGAGTCTTCTCAATATAGTAAAAATCCAGAAGACGAAGACGCTGTACCTCAGTAGGCCCTCAGTTGGCCAAAGTGGTTGGAGGAGGCGCCCCTTGTTTAAGACATGCGATATTCCATCCAGTTTCAACCGCCGATGTGGTCATCGGGAGACATGGGAGATCTCCAATTAAAACTAATCGATGAAAGAGACCATATACACTTCAGCTGCATTCGGACGCTGCATTCGGACGAATTTTGCAGGAGACCATGTACCTTCCTTTGCCTAGTTGCCCAAAAGAACGAACCTAGTTGCCACGGGCTGATGTTTGGATCTCCGATGTATGGTCCAGCTTGCTGGACGAACCGACCTCCCGGTCACCAGCAACAACGAGCCTAGTGGGAGGCTCAAGCGAGCCTAGTGCTGCAGCTTTAGAGCTGGAAGCAACTTTGGAAGTCAATGTGTGGAAAAAACAAGATGATAGATGAACCCAGTGACTCGGGCCAGAAACTAGTGGACTTGACATCTTACAACTGCAAGATGTCATTAGTGATGTCAATTGAGAGCTTCAGAGCAACCAATAGGAGGAGCTTTGGGGAGCTCCCATGGCAATTTCAAGTCTGAACACAAAAAAGAGTTGCTTTGCAATGCCTTGCATTGACTTGCCACATGCACGTGACATAAATATGACTCCCTTCAACTTCCTACTCTCATTCACTTTGAAGTGTACAAACCTTTTGCGAGTGCCAAGTCAGGACCGCCAGCGGCACCAATATGGGGGCACCAAAGATGCACCAAAGAGTCACAAAGAGAACCAAGACACCTGGGGTTGACACTCCGACTTTTCGTTTTAAGTCTTCCACTTCTGACACTTCTCCCACTCAACCTGTTTGGTTTCGGCGCCTTACCAGTCCGGAGGGCCCCGGACCGAACCGGACCTTCCCCCGCGGCGCCATGCGCCCTTGAGCGGCCGCGGCCGCGGTCGCTTGAAGCGATGCATCCCGATGGCTCGGACACTGATCTCCAAGCTCCTTGGTGAAGCGAGCCATGGGCGTGTCTGGAGCCATGGAGAGTGGATATGAACAAACAACACACACTGAACACCTCGAGAGGAACACCAATACTGATATGAACATGGGATTGGTTTGAAGGAAAGAATCCAAAAAGGAACACCACGGACCACGGTGTTCTTTTTTTTTCCCGAAAGCATTGCGAAGGGTTCTTCCGGAAAATCCTTTGAACACTGACACTTCGACACTCACACTTACACACACACACACACTGGAAGAGCGAAAGCATCCAAGTGCGAAGTATGCCAGTGTCAAAGTATGCAAGTGTAAGTATGCAAGCATGATATGCAAGGGTGAGTATGCAAGCATGCAATGACTATGCAAGCATGCAATGAGTAGGCAAGTGTGAGTATGGAAAACTAGCACGGGAGATGTCCTAATGAAAAAACATTTCCCCACTTTATAAATTCTCTCTTAAAGGCGGAGTGCGGGACGAACAGCGTCAACCGAAAGTGCAACCCTCTGCGGAGATCGTGCGTGTCGAGTGCGCGAAATGCAGGTGAGAGTGCGATTTGCCGGCTGCGCGCGCAACCCTCTGCGGAGATCGTGCGTGTCAAGTGCGCGAAATGCAGGCGAGAGTGCGATGTGCCGGGTGCCCGCGCAACCCTCTGCGGAGATCGTGCGTGTCGAGTGCGCGAAATGCAGGCGAGAGTGCGATTTGTCCGGTCCGCGCGCAACCCTCTGCGGAGATCGTGCGCGTCGAGTGCGCGA